CAGATTTATTGAAATTCTGGTTGTTACTTCACAGTGTACTACTTGCTTTATATAGTATTATCAAGTTGATATTATCTGTAGCATAAGCACCAAAGGATTCCTAGTATATCTGTTTTTACATATAAGTGTAATACTAACAATCATTTTTTACTTTCAGCTTGGTACTGCAAGGAGGCCTAGAACCTTGCTAATGACACACCAGCATAGTACACATTACTAAAGTTAGTAATGTATAATGCAATACCTAACGCAACTTCTAACCATATATAGACACCAGAGTTATTTTCAGAAAATGATTAGACTAATCCTTTACCACAGATCTTTATTATATTTACCGCTTCACTTACTACTTCTAGTTTAGGTATTAGTATTACACTCCCAAACAAGATCCTAGTATCTTAGGGTTGTTGGTACTATTCAGAAGATCTTTTAACATATTCTCTGCTTCACTCACTACTTCCAGTTTGAAACATTAATATTACCCTCCCAATTAAGATCTCAGACTGCCTTGGTTGTTGGTGTTACTTAAGTGCCTCAAGGATTTATATGTGCAACCTATTTGCTTCAAACTTTCTATGACTGCCACTCATCACACGTAGTGTCTACTCTCTATAGTTTTTGATTTCCAGAAACTTACATACACAACCTAATTTCTAAATCTTCTATGACTGCTGCTTATCACACATAACACCAACTCTTTATAGTTCAATCTCCTTCCAGAAATTTTCTATCAAATCTGTACTATACTTGGACTTCCACAGGGCTCTGTGTTTGATTTGGCTCCTCACCTGAAGGTTATAAAGATTTTTCTACCTCCCACCCAATTTGAATCATAGACCTTGACTTAACTTTTGTGGGATTTGACAACTTAACAAGTAAGCTATAGGGCTCAAACCCTATGTTTAGATTTTTAATTTTGAATTAAATTAATAATATATTTGTTTAAATATGTGATTTATTTTTTTTTATATAATAAAAATATATTACTAGAAAAATTATATTATATAATATACATAGAAGAGCTAATAAATAAAAGTTAGACTTAATACAAAGAACAGACTTTAACATATTCTATAGCTGAGAACTAATAGAAGGTATCTTTTTTTTTTCAATTACCAATTCATCCAACTTTATTAAGAAAACATATTTTAACAAATTCTTTTTACAAATATAATCTTTCTTTTTTTATCTTTTTAAATATTTAAATTATATTTACAATATTTTTTTAAAACTTGCTTTTTTAACTTTACAAAATCTCTATTTATATTATTTCTTAAACTGTTTTTTAGACAAATTTATTTAAAATTTTGAAAAGTATTTACAATTTTTTAAATAAAATTAAAAATATTAATAATATAAGATATATTTTATATATACAATAATATATTTAAAACAGAATAAATATATGTATTATTGGTATAGTAACTTAGAGAAATAGTAGAGTTGTTACCCCCAAGTAGAGTTTAATTCCTACTAGTGATGATTATTAAAAACAAATAACTTGTATATCTTAATTAGTATGTCAACTTAATTGGGTTAATACAGAGTAACTCTTTGTTAGATCTTGGTCAAAACTATATAATGCTAATAGTAAATTAGTAAAAACTAATCTATATTATAATTACCTCAAGAAGTACTAATTAAAAAGACCATTTGCAAATCCTGTATATAGTTTTATTATACCAAAAGCAAGTAACTACAAGGAGTTCTCAATTAGACAAATAAAGAAATACAAGCCAGTATAATAAATATACCTTTAAATATTGTTAAAAATAATTAGTATAAACTCATAATAAATCTATATGAGGGTTAGAATAGACATATAGAATAGGATTATATAGTCTAAATTTATTAACTATATATAGCAATATGTACTTCACCCAAAAATTTGTATAAACACAAATACAAACATTGTTTTCTACATGTCTAAAATCTGAGAATAAGACATTAAAGATTTGAGTAACCAAATTAGAGTAGTCTTTAATATATCAGTCACTCCTAATACTTAGAAGAGCTAAACTTAAACAACTATCTAACACATAACCTAATTGTTGTTAGCTCTTGCAGAACCATACATGCTGGGTATAAAATAAATGCTATAGAAAATACTTTCTCTGTAATATTATCTTTAATATTATTAGCTCTCTATAATTTATACATTTTATCACTTTCTCAACAACTATCTTTTTTTATCTTCTGTATCTGATTATAAACATTCTCCAAACCCTAATCTAGAAAACAATCTACAAAATGAAACCAACAACCTAAAATTAAAAACAATAACTCAAATAACTAAACAACTCAGCACCTTTAACCTACTACATGCTACAACAAATTTCTTTTTTATTACAAACTACACCTACTTGAACACCTATAAACAATTTAATCTTTCATTAACTATATAAATATTATATGATTTCTCCTCCTATTAGTTATCCTATTGCAACAAAATCTTTATCTTTAGTACTAAAACAAAGATAATAAATATGCAGAAGCACACATATACCTATCTAACAAACAATATTTACTTGCAAACCAATTTATACCTCTCTTCTATGCTGGTTTAGATATGTCTCTCTTAAAACATACCAACACTCAACCTCATCTAGCTCTCTCAATCTTTCTATATGCACTCATAATATTCATGGCTTTAATCAAGATCTCAAATAATAAGTTTGGGAACACTACTATTTGTCTAATAATCTAGCTTACAAAAACTTTTTCTAATTTAAACACCAATAAAGATTTTTTTACTTTTTCCTATACCAATTTAAGTATCTCATTAACACTTAAAGCATTTCACCCCAATATTTGTTTGTTTTAAAGCCCTTTGTGAACTTTTGAAGGACTAGCAGATTGTTTATAACAAGTAAATGCTTGTTGTTGGCTTTTTAAACTAGTGTTAGGATCTGTTTGGTTAAACATCCGAATATCCATGGATGATATGAATATTCAGATGTCAAATTTTGCTCACAGATAGTGAATTCAGATAATAAAAAATATTCCAGATAGTTATTTGAACACTATCCAGATGATTATATAGACTTTTTAATTTACATTAATAAGAATAAAACTATTGGTCAACACATTCCAATTGGTTATTATCCAAATATTCGGATATCTAAATGGCCATTTTTGAACATGGATATTGTCAACGGATATTCGGATGGATACGGATGTTCTAACCGGATAGCTGTTTTTGAGCACAGATGATTATCCAGATATCCGGATCACAACACTACTTTAAACACTCAAGCATCGATGATTCCTTGTCTAAATTTGGAATCTATATTAGATGGCAGCGTAATGAATAAAAGAAATAAGAAATATAGGTGAATTGTCTCTTATTTAGAAGACAATACTATACAGTTGTTATCGAATGTAGTGAGTACACGTTCTCGATCTTATGATAGTATGGATAATATATATGGTAATAAGGATTTATCATGTATAGAAGTTATAAAATAGGAAAGGATAACTATAAAATATAGAAAGAAAATAAATAACACAAATGAAAAGAGTAAAAAGGCCAATTAGGCTGTGATCGTATCTAGTCAATCAAGAATTGTCGAGAAATCAGTCCAATAACGTGACGGTAAATTTTTAGGGTAACACCGGTTATTATTAATTTACCTGGGTTATCAGGATAAATTATTATCAGTTACAGGCAGGGTTGAAAAAAAATGGTATAAATATTTCTTGGATTTTTTTTAAAATATTTTTAAAAAAAAACTTTTTAAACAATGGCGCTGAGACTAAAATTTAGTTAGGGCAAAACGCCGATTCTGATTTGTTAGTTAGAATCACCAAGTTTCATAGAGATAACTTTTAAAGAAAAAATGGTCACTTTATAAAGTTTCATTTATTATCTAATTATGTACAAGAAATGTATAATTACTTAATTTCAGGCTTAACTAGCTGTTTAACTATATAAATACTTTGTACGTTCTTTCTAATTTAGATGCATAACATATACATTTAATTATCATCTTCTAATTTGGTTAATGCATCATATTGAGATACATAATAAATTTTAATATGCAATACAAACCATTCTAATACAAATATTAAATGCTAGCCCTAAAGAGCTGTTAGAATGGTTTTATAATATATCCTTTTTCATTCTAGCTTTAAATTCATGTCACGCCTGATAGTTCATATGACTGCCTTCTTTATTTACCACTGTTGGTCTATTTTAATCTTTATCATGTGAAATATTGAAGAAATATACATATCACCATCACTTCAATAGATTTTATATTAAATCTTACCTTTCATTAAATGGCGCGTTTAACATCTAGTAAGCTGGTAGAATAAATCTTTCAGAAATCCGTTCCTGGTTTTGTGCAACTGCGTTGCGCAGTTACCATTGTTAAGATTTTTAGAAAACCTTATCTATCTGGAAATTTTTCGGGATCCTATAATATCTGATCAGTATGGTATGGTTTTTTTAAACTGCAGAACCATAAACTGACTAGGTATTATAAATAATAGCCGATAAGCATGGGATGCTTGTTGTATACCCCATACCAGACTGATCAAGTCACCCATACCATACAGATATTTTGTAAACTCGTATACAAATATGTAAACTAATTTTTTTCTTCTAAAAATTTACATTTTAAACTAAAAAAATATACAGTAATAAGTTTATATATAATTTGCAAAACTTGTTAATATGTTGATTTTTGTTCTTATATAAAAACAAGAATCTTAAACAAAAAAAATTACCTAAAAGAAAAACAAAAAGATAATAAAAAGAAAAAAAAAATCTTAAGAATATATTCACAAGCAAAAGTAAAATTGAAAAAAGTTTAAATAAATAAAAATTGAGAATAACTATTAATCACACATTGGAAATTTGGTTATATTTTAACATAAGCATTTCAACTTGGACAATTCTCGTTCTTCTCTCTCGCAATAATTATTTTATTTCAAGCGCCAAGTTTTTAAATAGCTAAAAAAGATTTTAACTATTTTTTTCTTTGTGCTTTAAATTTTTAGTATTTAGGATCTTCAGGCCCTAAATAAAGATGGGATTCTCTATGCTTTGCAGCGTAAGAAGCAACAACCAAGGCAAAATAGATCTATTGAACATAAATAAATAATTAATTATTTAAAATGATCAAAAAAAAAAAATTCATTATATAAAACATACCGCAATAATAATATCAAAGATAAGCACTACTATCCATATTGCTATATTACTCTTAAAAAATAGCTTCACAAAAATTATTCCGCCAATATCTAGTAAAACCGTAATAGCTGCACAAATGCTGAAAAGAATGGAGTAAACCCTAAGGTATGCTCTTCTCTTATATAATACAAAAAAATTTAGTAAACTTCACAACAAATCATTACTATAACAATCACTTTACCGACAATCAGTCTATTGATCATAATAGTTCAAGTCACCTAAGTTACTTAACTACACCTTTTCTAAGTTGAATTTTCTTAAGAAGCACAATGAAACTTTCTTATAAAATTAAATAAAATTAATATATCGGCAAATAGACCAGATCATAAATATCGTTAAACTCATTGTCGATAAAATAATGTGTTGATGAAGTGAATTAATTGTTACCCTACATACCCTACCAAAAACAGCAATAAGCCCAAAAATAGTTACTAATAAGCCTATAATACTAAAAACCAAATAAACATAAATTAAGTATATTTTATCCTTATAATCTAAACAAGTAAATAAAAAATTAGCATATAACTGAAAAAAATATGTAGCTAGGTGAATAAAGTGAATAAAACATACTTTCATTTTCATTTCCGTTTATAATAATTGATGTAAAATAAAAGGAGAAGGCTATTGAATCAATCTAATATTAATAGAATAACATTAATAGAAATAACATTAATATATAAAGAAATCTAATTAAAATATCTATTAATATAAAGAGTAACTCACCAGGCTTAAAATCGTTATAGTAATAACACCTGCTCTCAAGGAAATACAGCAGCAACACTTATTAGGTTTGATAATTGAGTCCATTTTTGATTGTTAAATTGAATAAATTCTGGAGGATTTATTTAATACTTTCATGAACTAGACTCATTAAATATTAAAGTTAGTCCATTGTAAAACCAATAATATTGCCAAGTTTAACATTACTAATAAATAATAATGTTAGACGTCGAAATAGAATCTTTGTGGATTTAAAATTGGTATGTGTTTTAACAGGAATTCTATATTGACTCGATTTGCTAAAAAATTCAAATTCAACTTGAGTGGATTTAAAATTACTATACTTAAAATTATAGTTAATCAATAAAAATAGATTTTTTTTTTTTTTTATCTAAAAAAAAATAAATAAAATTATAATCTTTAATTTTTTTATTAAATTATTGAAAAAAAAAACTGAGTTCAAGAGTATAGACTTTTATCTCCTCAACGTAGTTGAAAGGTTACTTACCACTACAAATTTCTAGATGGTAAATATGTTAATCTACATTGTAAACTTTCATTACACTATACGTGTAAAGTTATAATTTATGTATCCTACAAGATACATTAAAAATAATCTTAAGAACTGCAAAAGATCGTTATTGGGTCATGGAAACATTGGTTTACGAAATCTTTGAACATTGAAGAGTCCCGTTATTAAATTAGTTGTGATTTAAGTGTTTTTAAAATTGCGTATAAATGCAATTCAAAATCTTTCTATGTAACTTGCTGAATAGGATAATATTTTTCTATAAGTGTACGTGATGCTTCACAGGAAAATCAATATAAAGTGTAACTGCAAGGGTAGGATAAATGTGAATAAATTTACTGTAAATATAAAAGGTGAAATTGCCTTGCGGAATCTAATGTAACTAGAACATATATATCAAGTATAAACTGCTTATAATTATTAAAAATTTACCAAAATTGAAATTTTCTAAATAGATTTAAAATTTAGCTAGCTATCAATTGAGTGAATTTAAAATTTTGTTTCAACTTAAAGTACATTTTTCACTGTTTTGAATTAGTACTGCGTATTACTGTTGCTTAAAAATGGTAATATGCAATCACAAAATTCATTCATCGTCCTAATTCGAAAACAGGAATAAAATCTACTTAACTAGATTTCACGTTTAGCGAGATTCTATTTCAACGTACATACCACAACAATAATACTTATACCTTTTGTTATGTTAACACTTTCTAGCAATAAAAAAAATTGGAAGAAATATCAGAGCGTCGATTTAACTAGAAAATTAGAGAAGAGAAATTTTAATATTTAGTGTATTGAACTGTCTTTTTGTCTGGTTATATATTGTCATAAACAGAGACACAAGCTGTGTAGAAATTTGCTTTTGCTTAGAGAAAAGTCATAGAAGCTATTATAAATTGTTAAAATATTGTCGTTATTATGATTTTGTCCATGTTAAGCCCTTATACTTCGTTAAGGCTGTGCACAATTGATCGAGGCTTGTGCAATAATAACATGCAGCCACTGGCGTAAAAAATACAGTATACATTAAAATCGTCTTTTGTTATTATACGTATATACATGAAATTTGCAATTAAAGAAAACTTAGAATTTCAAATGACAAAATAATGTAATTGACGAAGCGGTGAAAAAAAAAAATAAAAAATTGAAAGATGAAACTTTTGACAAGACGAAGCTTGGCAATAGAAAAGCCTTTAAAAAAAGACGAAGCCTCTTGATGAGGTATAAAAAAAACAAAAAATATTCCTAAAGCCAAGCCTTCAAATACGACAAAAACTGCTTAATCCATGAAATATATCGAGAACTGGAAAAAAAATTCCAATTGGCTGAGGCAAAGAAGCGTTTATATGTTAACGGATTGGATTTGATCCTAGATAAGTCTTAAATTTAACACTAGCGATTTCATTATGTATCTTTCTTTTCAAATACTGAGCAACAGCTTGAGTCCGCCACTTAGAACAAAAATTGGAACTTTACAATAACCACAACTAGAAATGTCATTTTTAAAATCATACGCATGAATTTGCATTAATGCGCATTGTTTATTCGGGTATTACCACAAAATTCCGAAAGACAATTACCTAATACCGACAAAGTTAGCCTGCATTAGTTATAATGTTGGCCAATTTAGTCGGTATTATGTTCTTTCGGGAAAATGATTTTCGGAATTTTGTGGTAGAATCGTTTATTCGAGCGCATCGCATTCATAAAAAAAAAAAAATCATAAAAAACAATTAAAAGAAATAACAGAGAGAGGGATAGCACATTAATATAGTAAGAAAATTTCATTGCAATACTTCTGTATTTTCTTTAACTCGTTGCCAAATTAAAAAATAAAATAGGATTGGTGTAAATCTGTCAAATAAGATGTAAACTAGAACGAAAAAGTATTATAAACATATTGTTACTGGGCCGCGTGAGAACACAATCGAAATCACGGGTCTTAGCATCACTTCTGTCTTAAAGGAATTAGCGTCATAAGCTTTAGTTTGACAAATATGATTCTTATCCTCTTATTTAAGTTATAATATAAATAAAGGCTCCACCGTATATCAACCTCGGCTATTCTTTTATTAATAAATAGGAATATACACATAATATATAGTCCCCTTTCGTACAATCCAAATCTCCATATAATTCTCACACATCCAACTATTATATACTACAGCATAGCCCCGTGTGAATATCCTTAAAATATACCCAGGTATAGGCTCTTATCCTGTTTTAATTTTAATTAGCTTAGAGTTAGGGTTGTCATCACGTGATGGTTATACCAAGAACGGAGTGATATATGACCCCTGTTGCATCTAAAGTAGCGATTTATCTAAAGTAGCTACTTTAGATATATAAAGTAGCGCCTGACTAAAATTAGGC